AAATAAAACATCAGGCGTGTTTGTTTATATTAGAGGAAATGGAAGTAATTATTTCTTTCCCAGGTTCTTTTTGTCAGTATGTGAGATAATGTTTTCTTATATTTCACTGAATTTCACTGAATTTCTAGAGTTGGAAGGGACCATAGAGATCATCTAGTCCAACTCCCCTGCTGAAGCAGGATTGCCTAGAGCTAGAGCATGTTACTCAGGAGCATCCAGGCGGGTTTTGAAAATCTCCAAAGAAGGGGACTCCACAACCTCCCTGGGCAGCCTGTTCCAGGGCTCCGTCACCCTCACCGTGAAGAAGTTTCTCCTCATATTTGAGTGGAACCTCTTATGTTCCAACTTGTGCCCGTTGCCCCTCGTCCTCTCGGTGGGAACCACTGAAAAGAGTCTGGCTCCCTCCTCCTTCAACCCTCCCTTGAGATACTTGTAGGCGTTGATAAGGTCTCCCCTCAGCCTTCTCTTCTCCAGACTAAAGAGTCCCAGCTCTCTCAGTCTCTCCTCATAAGGGAGATGCTCCAATCCCTGAATCATCTTTGTAGCCCTACGCTGGACTCTTTCTAGTAGTTCCCTGTCCCTCTTGAACTGGGGAGCCCAGAACTGGACACAGTACTCCAGTTGTGGCCTCACCAGTGCAGAGTAGAGGGGGAGAATGACTTCCCTTGACCTGCTGGCTACACTCTTCCCTATACAACCCAAGATACCATTGGCCTTCCTGGCCGCAAGAGCACACTGTTTACTCATTGCCATTTTACTGTCCACCAGGACCCCTAGATCTTTCTCTTCAGTAGTTGCCTCTAGCGGGTCCACCCCTAACCTGTATTGGTGCCTGACATTCTTCTTCCCCAGGTGCAGGACCCTACACTTTTCCCTGTTGAACCTCATGAGGTTCTTCTTTGCCCAGCCCTCCAGCCTGTCCAAGTCTCGCTGGATGGCAGCACAGCCCTCCGGGGTGTCAGCCACTCCTCCCAGTTTGGTATCATCAGCAAACTTGCTGAGGATACACTCTGTCCCCTCGTCCAGGTCACTGATGAATATATTAAACAGCACGGGTCCAAGTATTGACCCCTGGGGGACTCCACTGGTTACAGGCTTCCAACTTGAACCTGCTCCATTAATAATTACCCTTTGGGTCCTGTCACACAGCCAGTTCTCAATCCACCTCACTGTCCCCTCATCCAGCCCATACTGCCTCAGTTTCCCAATGAGGATGTTATGGGAGACAGTGTCAAAAGCCTTGCTGAAGTCAAGGTAGATGACATCTGCTGCCCTCCCCTCATCCAACCAACCGGTTATGGCATCATAGAAGGCTATCAGATTGGTCATACATGATTTACCCTTGGTAAACCCGTGTTGCCCACTTCCAATAACCCCCCACTCTTCAACTTGTTTGGAGATGACATCTAGTATGAGTCTCTCCATCACCTTCCCAGGGACAGAGGTGAGACTAACTGGTCTGTAGTTCCCAGGGTCCTCCTTCTTGCCCTTTTTGAAGACTGGAGTGATGTTGGCCTTCCTCCAGTCCTCAGGCACCTCTCCTGTTCTCCACGACTTCTCAAAGATGATCGAGAGTGGTCCAGCGATAACGTCTGCCAGCTCCCTCAGCACTCGTGGGTGCAACCCATCAGGCCCCATGGACTTATGAATGTCCAGTTTGGCCAAGTGGTCCCGAACCTGGCCCTCCTCTACTAGAGGAAAAATTTCCTCTCTCCATACCATCCCCCTTGCCTCTAAGGCCACAGATTCATGAGGGGCAGTCCTAACAGTGAAGACTGAAGAAAAGAAGGCATTCAGCAACTCTGCTTTCTCCGTGTCTTCCACTACTAGGGTGCCCACCTCATCCATCAGTGGGCCCACATTATCCCTCACCTTTCTCTTGCTGTTAACATACTGAAAAAACCCCTTTTTGTTATTGTTAATATTGGTGGCCAAGCTGAGCTCCACTTGAGCCTTGGCCCTTCTAATTTTCCCCCTGCATATCCTCACCGCTTCATGGTATTTCTCCTTATCTGCCAGGCCCTTTTTCCAAAGATTATAAGCCTTCTTTTTGTTCCTGAGTTCCAGCCGAAGCTCTCTATTTAGCCAGGCTGGTCTTCTTCCCTTCCTGCTTGATTTTAGGGACTTGGGAATAGCTTTATCTTGCGCCTTTAAGAGTGCCTCCTTGAAGAATGACCAGCTTTCCTGGGCACCCTTGCCCTCGAGGACCATCTCCCAAGGGACACCCCCAATCATGCTCCTGAAGAGGCCAAAGTCTGCCCTTCGGAAGTCCAGGGTGGCAGTCCTGCTGGCCCCCCGCCTTGCTTCAGTGAGAATTGAAAATTTTATCATTTCATGATCACTTGTTTTGCTTCAGCACAGTTCTGGTGACTGACAGGCAGCTTGTGAAGCGGTGTTACACAGCAGAAAGTATATGTACTTCCTGTCACAATTTCTGGTGCTACATACAATCTGCTGGTTGGGAACCACTGTTGTATTTTACTGGTCTATTGGGCTGAGACGGTCCTTCAGTACGAACAGGTATTTTTATCATGGTGGAGCTCCTTGAGGAAGTCAGAAAATAGGGTCTGCCTGTTAGATCCCCACCACAGGGCTGGGGAATCGGGGAACAGAAGGGATGGCACAGCTTGTGTGGTCTAGAACCAATCTGGTCAGAGTCTGTGCTCCTCGGTGCATGGACCTACTTCTCAAAGAATAGCGCCTTTCTTTTAAATTTATCTGTTTCTTGCATACGTGTAAATAAGATACTCAGTTATTTAATGTGACTGAATTTGCTTTTGTCGGAAAGCAGTCTTCTTCATGGAGAAATGGCACTTCAGTTATTTCCTCTCTTTCTGTAGAGTCACATACCTTTTTTTTTTTTTTTTTAAAGTGGTATTATTTTTAGAACATGTATAAGCATTAGTATAATGTTTATTATAAAGCTCCGAGTGAAAACATTTACTTCTATCAAAAGGCATTACTTTTTTCAGTTTAGTATATTATGTCTGAATTAAGTTTGCAACAAATAATGCGCCTTTTATGGCAGGAACAGGATAACATCCTTTCTCTCTTTGAATATAAAAATTGAAATGGATTTATTGGCTAATTTGGTCTGCTATCAAATACATACTGTTTTAAAAACTTCTGTATTCATCAGGAAGTAATTTGCATTTTTAATATATTGGATAAGGAGAAAATGTGGAAAGGTATTCTCCAATGTCGAATAGAGAATAGTTATAAATACAACTCTAGATAAATAAATTTATTTAATAGTATTAATAAATCTAGTTCTTTATTCTAGGAAATGAGCAAGAATCAGGCATAATTTTTTTCCAGTGTTGCTTATCACTAGCATTCTTTTCCAAAAAATGGTAAAAACATCACTGAACTGTTTTAAAAGTTCCTGCTGTGCTCTTAATTAAATTTAGTCTTCTATATTTAGTCACTCTTTCAGGTGTGGATCACATGGGCATATGTTAATGAAGACTCAAATACTTGAATTTCTATACACCTAAAATCTCTCTTTTGTGCACAGGATAAGCAAAATTCTTCTCTTGATCACATTTTGTAGTTGTGTCTAAAAAGAGCAGTCCTGGCTGTTAGATAGTAATGATATTTGTTGTTTTCTGAGAAATGTTTACATTTAGATGGAATTTATTAGCAGAACAACATCTAAACAACAAAATTAAAGACCTGGATTATTACATAAAATATCAACAACAGAATTCAAATACAGAAAACTCAAATATATAGCACTGTTTGCATATAAGCCAAAAACTAGCTTCCAGTTTAATAATCCACCTAGTGTGGTGGAGTAGATGCACGGTCTGTGCATTTAGTATCTTTCCCAGAGCAGTGATGAACAGTAGATGCCCATGGAAGCGTGTAAGAACAGGGTAAGCCTATTCCATACTGCTTCCAGGTGTTCTTCCACACGTCAGGCTTTTGTGGCTCAGGAACCTCCTGGACAGGATGTGGTTTCTGTTTACTTAAACATCCCGATGCTAAGCCTGGCAATACTAGTCATCGGTAAATCAATAGACATACCTTCTTATGCACAGGTTGTGGGAGGTTGGTTAAATCTCCATCCTTGGAGATACTTAGAGGTCTGAACAGACTAAATAACTTGGGACCATGTCTGACTTGGTTTGACGTGTTAACATGATGTTTGCAGACCACTCTATTTCTCCCTCCATTGTGTCTTTTTTTTTAAACCATAGTCTTCTTTGTTTTGTATCTCAATTACAAATTCTTTTTAGTAAATACTTCTACTGACTGAAATTATAGTGGCTACACAACCGAGCCTTTGCAGTCTCAGGGCACTGTGGAGCTCGAACACCAATTAGAAAACTGGCAGACATTAGGCAAGCTTGTTTCTACTGCAAATAGTCTTTTTAGAGGGGCAGCCTGCCTGCTCTTCCTGCTTTGCCCAGTACATGGAAGCCTATATTGGTAAGAGCTATGTATGAGAACAGCAGCATATATATTTGTAAACATAGTATATAGAAAAGCAGCATTGCCTGGCATATAAATTTAGTGTTCACAAAAAAAAAAAAGTATAAAGAGAAAAACTCACAAAGCCTGGTATTTTTAGTGCAGTATTTAGTGGAGCATAGCAACTAGGCAGGCAGTGATTTGGTAAGGTTTATTTCAGGAGGAACACAATGACAATAAACTGGGCTATTTCCTGTCTCTGTACTTACTAAAAAAGATTTTGAGGGAAAACATATGGCTCAGAAATTCCTGAACAACTCTTAGTTCTTGATCTTGCATATAGTGAAATGTATTCTTCGCTGAGGTTAAAGTAACGTGAGAAGTTTCAGCTGATCTAACAACTCTCTGGACGTGAAAAGAAACAGTTATATCTCTCCCTGTCTGCCTTTTCCTCCCCTGTTACTCTTCCTCTGTGTGCTGCTGGCTGGGCATTTCTGTCTTAGCCTTGCGCTGACTCTGGGGTTTGTCAAACCCTTCCCAAAACCAATTCAGGAGCAACACAGTTGTTTTTTTTTTTCCCCCAGTGTCAGTTTTCCTGGATAAATGAATTGAATCAGTTCACAAGTGAAGAGCGGAAGTTATGTTAATAATGAGCAAAAAGTTTAATTCCACTGCAACCTGTTCTGATTCCTATATTATTTCAATGACCTGTACCCTAGGAAGTCAGGTAAGATTAAGTCTCTGTTTCTGTTCCTCACTTCTAACTGACCTATTGAGCTTCCTCTCTCCCACTTCTGGTCTGTTCTGCTTGGAACAGGGACTGTTTCTCAGTGGATGCTCAGTCTGGCACAGTAGAGCCTGGAAGCATTCGTTCAGTGTAAATGGCTGGTTTCAGCAGTGAGTGTAGTTTAGCCTTATACTTGCAGTTGACAACAAAATAAAATCAACAGTCTATGTATTTATATTTTTTTAGAATTGTATTTTGAGATAATTAAAAAGAAATACCTAACCTTCTCCCCCCACCCACAGAAACCTGTGTGTTCATTAAGTTTAATAGCATTTTTGCAAGTGATAGTATTTCCAGACACTCTGATTCTCTAGGAAATCTAATTACTTCTTTCTCCATTACAACTTTGGAAGGATTATTCAAATATTTTATAGTCCTAACTGCACAGAGCACTTTAATCCTATTGTTTGTAGATTGTCATTCTGCTGCCTTCTTTCTGCTTGCAGTCTCCCATCAGACACCACAGGCACATCCTGGTAATCTCCAAATCCAGCAAAGTGCTATCAGGCAATCAATGCCTGCCTGCCCCCTCTATTTACTTTCCACTCCTTGCATATTTTAAAATAAAAGAACTAGACTCACAATCTTCTCTCTAGCACAGTACAAACTATGACTTAAAAAAACATATATAATTGGTATCTGTCCTTCTTAGTCTTGGGCTTGTCGATGCCATCTCTTTTATTGATCCTTTATCTGCCTTCTGATGACTCTGAAGAATTCACCTGTTTGCCTTCAGACAGACACGCCGCCCTGAAGAAAGTATTAACTGAGTGAAATAAGATTCCAATCTCTTAGCTAAAAGGGAGACGGATATCAGCATCTATCTCCAAGTAACGGGACCTAAATGACAGCTCCTAAATTTCTGTGAAAAGTGCTAAAGTGACAGTGCCATGAATTTGCAGGAGCAGTAAGTCTCCATTTACCCTTTGCTCCCAGATCTCTCAAAGGAAGGCAAGGTCGGATTCAGAGCCTTGAAAACTTGTTCTTACCATGCCTGGTGTGTGCACTGTAGCCTGTTTGGACATAATCCTTTGGTGATGTGGCAATACCAGTGATTTCAGGACAGTCCTTTTTGTCAAAATTCCACAAGAATAGTAAGGCAAGTTCTACTTCTCAAATTGTTCTTTACCCCTGTGCAATTGTTGTTTTTCATTTTTAATAGAAGTCTAGAATTGTGTGGGTACATAAACACATTTATGCATTATGGATGTAAATTCCATGTATTTTAGTGTAAGAAAACATTTATACTGTTTATAAGAATGTTATACAAGCAAAAATAGATTCATGAAGAGATTTGTGATCTTTTATCTGAAAAAAAATTTTTTTTTCTTTTACAGAGAAGAAGAAAGTGCCATAGTCTGTTAATGATGCCAGTAGATCCTCTGCAGAACATCTTCCTCTGCAGTAAAATTCACTCCTCCTGGTTGTTACCAGTTCTACCCAATTACTCTTTTCATTCTCACCAGTGCTGCTGAACTGGTGCAGAAAATACTTTGACTGGGACTTATGTGAAGTAATAAGGAAGAACAGTTTCTGGACAAATAAATATTTGGCGTTTTGCAAGCTTCTGTAAAGAAACGAGGAGGTGAGGTATGTAATAGTCACATTGCTCCATTTCTCATTAACTGTTTTGTGCTTCAGGAATCAGAAGTGTGTGTTTGCTGTTCAGAGTCATCATTTCCTGTCACTGCGGAACCAATTTTCAAGCAATAAGTCCCTTTTTGTGTTTGAAAGGGGCATTTGCTCTGTAGCACCACCTGAGTACTTCTATTTATCACACAATTGGGATTAACTGAAACCTTTTTTGCGCCATCACATCTTATTGTATCATTATATATAATTTCAGCTCCTGGGTTTTTTACCTGTTCTGCTAGAGCAAATGAAGCAAATCAAATTAAGGAGATCAATCCTCATTTCCTAGCAACCTTTGAAATTTGTTGGGAGTGGGCTAAACACCACTTTAGCCATTCTAATTTGCTTCTGTATTTAACTCCATTGTTCCAAAAGCAAAGTGGTCTGGGATTTAATAGGACTGCAGTTTTTATAGTTCCACTGTTCATCACCTGCATTTTATAGCATGGCACGTCAAAAATTAACTTATTTCCTTCTTTGCTTCTGAAAATAAGTGTTTTAAGCCCAGTGTGCAGTTCCAACTTTTTTCACTGTATGTGAACTCCAACCTCTCCCATTCCTTGACTAATAAACCAGTCTGTTTTTCCAGTTCAACAGATTTGTTTCACAAGTACATTACCGGGTGAGAAGCATTCACAAGTAGCTCTGCTGGCAGGGGAAAAGGCTGCCAGAGCAGATTTTAGAAATGGGGAGCTTTTGCCACCTGTATTGTTTGGAGATTTCTGAAGCAAACAGACTGGTTAGTTGACTTGTTACAAGGCCTTCTGGTTACCATCTGCCACACACACCTTGCATGATAATTTACCAACAGCGATGAGCTCTCCAAATAGATTTACAGCTGGCATTACTTTTAAAAAGAATTCACAACAGTTGCTTTCAAGTAAAGCACAAGAAAGGCTTTTATTTTATTGAATGTTTTCTTATAAGGCGTGAATCAGTCGAACACCCGTAGTTAAATGTGTGATAACAGTGTGACTTGTTTTATGTTATATAAACGCTGCACATTCAAACAAGAATCTTGTTTGCTATGGAATTGATTCTTCCAAACAATGAACTTTTCCTTTTCCTAAGTTGAAGGAACTTATGTTTGTCATAGTGTGTACGTACTACTTTTGTCTTTTTTAGGGAATTCAGGTTAGTTGAGTCTTCTGCACTTCTCGAGCTTTAGCTGTTGTGCAGGATGAAATTAGATAAGTGGTTTTTCCAAACAGCAAGGAGAAAGGATTTTGTTTTTCATCCATAATGGGAGAAATGTTGTGGAGAGGTCAAGTTGCAGTAAATGGATACATTTCTATAAGTTAGCTAATCCGGCATCCCCTATTGTAGCTCATACTGCTGCTTTTAATGAATGGAAGAAAGAAAACATGTTTTTCTACTGAAAAGCTTTACTTTCATGTGCAGATCATTCTTTAGGGGGAACAGAACAATTTAATTCCCATTGTTCATATTTTTTTCTTCTTTCTTATTGGTAAAGTATGTGCATCTTATCTTGAGCACCCCACAAATTTCCCACCTGCCAGGCAATGGAATTTTCATATTTTTTTTTTATTTTATTTTAGAAGTGCTCTACTTTGGTCAGGGGGTAGAAGGAAATGCTGTTACTTAAAAAAAGGTTTATGCTTTCATGGTTATAATTGGACTTTCAGTCCCATGAATATTTGCTAAAGAATGAATGTGGAAAGACCTGATAGAAGGGCAATATTTGGGATGCATTTCTGATTGAAAAAAAAATATGCATTTTGCATTTTTGAAGTCTGTAAATTCACGGAAGCTTTTAAGTTCAGTGGAGTTGAGTTTGGTAACAAATATGATATTTTATGATATTTTATTTTCCCATTAGGTAAAGCAACTGTCAACAGTTGTAGCACTGAATATTCTGCCTACAATCAATGTTAAAAGAAGGGATTAATGTTTGTCATTAATTCTGCTTTACTTAGCATAATTCCTTATCTATCAGATATATAGTACGTGTTTTATTTGACATTTTCAATATTTTACATTGTGACTAGATGTCCATTGTGCTTGTTTTCATTGCTTATGTGGGCTACAAAAAGATGGGGAGAGTTGTATAACGGACTGTGTTTAAATTACCCTATAGCATAAGGGTAGGTAGTTTTATATACGATAAAGTATAGCTTGCTATCTTTCACAGAATATCTGATGGGAAAATTAGATTACTTCAATAAAACCATAACCTAAAATCATGCAGTATGAATCAAATTCTTTTGTAGTTTTGAAGATGGCAATATGAAAAGGTTCCAGGGATGTCAGCGGCAACATATTTGAGGTACTTTATAGTATATTGATATCATATAGAATAGAAAGAGATTTTTTTCCCTCATTTTACCATTTAAATGAGAAGTGCTAATAATGCTGTAATTGCCACATGTTTTTTTCTACTTCAGTTGCTTCAAGGACTTGTGTCTGACTATCAAAATCTGTCTTAAACTTTCATTAAGAAAAGAAAAATTGATTTATAGGAGGCAAGTATCTGGCCTACAATTTCTTACAATTAGGAAACAGTCAATATACAGGATTACTGTTTTATTTCCTGCAGTGTCTCCATTTTCTCTTAAAGCTAGTTAAACTCATCTATCCATTCTCCTTTCTTCCCTAGCATTTTTGCATGATCACAGAGCTTTGAAGCTGTCCCTGTGATTCTTTAATTTTTTATTTTCCACTAGGCTGTAGGGCATAGTAGAGTGGTGTGATATTAATGGGCCTAATTGAGATAAAGTTTAATGGTTTTTCTCACACACTTCATCATTAGGCCAGTGGCATATTTTATTGTCATCTTTTCTCTGTGGTCATTGTGTTAGCTGGTCCTAATTATATCTAAATGTTTCAAGGCATGGTAGAATAACACTTTTTTTTTTTCTTTTATTCTTTCTGATGCCTGGGTCCTGTTTTGGTTTTTTTCCCTCCCCTTTTTTCTCCTCACCATTATAAGTCGTTTAATTCCATCATGCCTACCACCATCTGGAACAAAATATTTCTATTTGCAAAGTGTTTTCATTCATCCAGTTCATGGCTAAACCAATTTGCATATAGCTCATAAAATCTGTTAATCATCTTTGACTAATGTTTAAAACATACTTACTCTTGTGATTGCCTAAAGTATCACAAATATATCTCATGGACAATTTTAGCCTCCTCAACTGTCTTATATCAAGGAACCAATACTTCCCTCATTTCTGAAATGGTCAATCATATCTATACTGATAGTTAAGACACAGAAATAAAAAAAAATCCTTATTTATGCCCATGCTACTAATTCTGATTATTTGTGTAATAGTACAGTTCTACAAGTTCAGAGGGGATAGTACCTTCTAACAGGTAAGTTTACTTCTTAAACCTGCAACTGAATGCGTCTTGGGCAGTCAGTCCTGGTTTTCTTGCAGTTATGTTGTCTGTGCAGGAGAATGGTTAAATAAAAAACATGAGACATCTGTTTCACAGTAACAGAATTATTTTTCTGGTGAATACTGTGATATTTAGAAGGTATCTTGAGAGACATTGAAGTCATGAGAAGTGAAGGGGTTGTTGAAGTGCATACTTTTAAAGTATTACTGACATATAGTCATTAGTAGCAGTCTTTCTTTAGCTCTGTTGTATAAACTGGACTTTCATTGGGATGGTAATGCAATTCTGCCTTCAAAGCAGATGACTAAATGTATTAAGGATTAAACTTGTCTTTGACCCTATGCAGGAAAAAGAAAAAGCCCAGTGACAGATTATATATCAACATTTAATGAAAACATTAGTAAAGGCTCACCTATGCCAATATGAAGCATGATGATTATATCTTTGAGTGGTCTTGAAGAAATAAATAAAATTACTGTCTTAAGCAAGTTGTAAGAGTTGCAGTATTAGTCAGGTGTGTCGTTTAGCTCACGTTATCAATCAGACCTGCTACAACAGCCAGATTTTGCAGTGCATCAGAAAGAGTTAAAAGAAGATGAATAATACAGTCAGAAAAATGCTACTGTATATCAACACCACAAAGTATTTTTGTGTCTTTCCTGTAGCTTACAATTTTAGGACAAGAAATGATGACAATAGTTCTTTGTGCAAATTCTTAAGAGGCCACGTGACCTTACCCCTAATTATCCTATAAACACATTTATTGTTGCTACCTGGTGCACAAAAACTGGCTTTTAATACCTCTGAAGCAAAGCAGCTTTCTCCAGGTTCTTTCAAACACAAGCACTGTTCGTTTATGTTCTACACATTTGTTTGCTGACATTTAGTTACGTGCCCCAGCTATACTTGTCTTGGATAGATCCTTCCACTGATGACAATAATAGCAATAATCATTTTAGGTTAGGGTTTATGCTTGCAATATAGTAGTGGAGGTAAGGCTATGGATGAGTAGCGTATAGATGGAAATACCTTCACCATTCTTTGAAGTGATTCTAAGTTCATTGTCTTCTTTCTTTCTTTTTTTTCTGCGTTAGCAGTCTGTGTAGACTTGGAAAATTATGGTGTGTGAGCAAATATGATAAAACAGCTTTTTTTCTTTTTGCTTTTTTCCTGGCATCCAAATGGATTACTGAAAGTTTTATGTAGGCAATACAGTGAAAACTGGAAGTGAAAGTAATCTTGGAGAGCAAATCTCCTGAAACAGGAGGTGTTGCTTCTGACAGGTATTGATAGCTCAGATCTATGATGTGAGCAATGATTTGGTTTTCTTGCACATGTTTTTAAAAACTCTGCAGGTATTTCTGGACAACACTGCCAGGACACAATAACTAATTATAAATATGTTAAATGTAAAATAAATAGAATTTAACTTTTCTGGAATAAAATTTAACAATCCTACCTGATTGATATGGGCATCTTCAGAATATAAAAATCTTTTTTTCCACTTGGGCTTGTCCACAAAAGTAGCTTTGATTTTAGTTCCCCACCTTGCTTTGTCCAGTTTGCTTGCAGCTGCTGTGTATGTATAAAATCTG